TTCATAAGCAGTTATCTAAAAGGGAGCCATACCCACTCCTAAGCTTGCACAAAAATCTATACAAGTGAGAATGATCCTTCAGATCGTGCAGCATAAATGCATGTTCTTTACTTCAAATACGCTTTTAACCAAAGTTTCTTCATTAAAGAGTTGCCTAAAACGAATCATGCCCACCCCTAAGCCTGTATAAAAATTCACAACTGATAATCCTTCAGTTCGTGCAACATACGTGCATGTTTATTGCTGCAAATGCATTTTTAACTAACTTTCTTCATTAAAAAGTTATTTCTAAAGATGTCACTTGCACCACCACTCATCAGCCTTATAAACATCCACAAGTCACAATCCTTCATTAGGTAATTATGTGTTTTATTTACAATATATTGTGTATTTTTTATTTATTTATTTTGAAACCCTTTAAAACCGAAAAAAACTAGAACCAGAACCAAAAATTATTTATGTCACAAACCGAAGCACTTCAAAAATTATTTATAATTCATAAATGGGTTCCAAGCCCTGCTGAGAACTTAGCGTTTCATTGTATTATAGTAACAAGAACGTTATTTACCTACTCTATGTAACTTAAGGCAATTGTTAAAGTTTCTTTTAATCCTTTTTGGTTTGCAATACATTTTGCGTTGGTAAAGGTAATTCTTCCTCAGATCGATCAGAAAGTTCCACCCCAGCAAGCGCATGCCAAAGATTAATTAAAATTGTTGTCTTAAATAAAACTTTCGAGGTTTTAATTTTAGGAAGATATTTGAAATACGTTTAATAACTTAGTCTGAAGAAATGATACAGGAATCATCATCCAGTTTCAAATTGATTTAAAATAATTCAGTCTCTCCAGCAATTATTTGTTTTATCGTTCATTTGTGTGCCCATTTTTGGGATACACCGAATGAACTGTATAAAATTAAACTCTATAATTTTTAACCAACAATCACCCTTTTAAATCATCCGGAATTACGTATAACACTAGAGCACGCGACCAGGGTTGTTTCGCAGGGAGTGCTATTACCTACACCGGCTGAGTGGAGGAGTCTCCAACTTTTTTTTAATATGATCAAAAAAAGTAGGTATAGGTACCTACCTATCGGCATTGTTTAAATACTTTATAAACAATGCTATCGGAGAGGGGTCTCTTCTTGCTTACGTGGTTTTGCGTATTCCTTTTGTGCCGTGAAAAACGGTTTGTTTAATAATTAATTTCTGTTAATCATTGGATTAAGGTACCTATACCAAGCTGTGAGGGAATTGAAGTTCCAATATGAGGTAAAAGTTAGTGCTTCAGTAACGAATACCCAACTCTTGGCGAATAGTTCGAAGTAAAAAATGCTTTGTTTTTCTGCAAGTTACTAAAACATTTTATATGGCAGATTCCCCGCGTGACATTTTAAATTGTTTTTTATATTTGTTTAATATAGGTAACACAAGCAGAAGGAAGTTTGTCATTCATTTCAGTGGAGATGGGTGAATCTTTTTCAGAATGTTTGCCGTAAATGGCTGTGGTATAGTAGCAGGTACAGAAAAAAGAGTATGGTAGGCACTTAATTGTAAAAAAACTATGAATGGTTGTCCTTCAAGTGCGAAGTTGAACGTACGTATTTTAATCATAGGTAGGTATTCGGAAGGAATAAGTCAAAAGCTATTAGCAGAATCCTTATTGAACTTTAATCATCCGCTTTTATCAAATGCGGGTATTGGAACAGAAGGGTAACAGTTTTTGAAGTGATATTAATTGTTACAATTGATGTCACGACTATATTCTCATTTATTAATAGTCGCGTGTCCCCCATGCAATTTACTGACTTTTTTTCCGTATCTATCCATCCATTCTCATGTTTGCTTTCATAATAAAATGTGCTCGTGTTCTGAATCATTTCCGGATCGGGGTACAAACGTTTTGTTAGCGAATTTAACTCGTAAATGTTAATGATATGGGCATATTCAACATCCATACTTTGTCTAATCAAATTAATTGATTCTCATGTGATTTATGCAAAGTATTTTTCAATGTTCCAATTGTCTTTAGTAGAGATTTCAAGATTTTTACATTTACGTAGATGCTTTTCAAGTTTGTTAATTAATATTTTCAGTATTGGGGGGGATGTTAGGGTATCACATTAACAACCTGTACGGTTTGAATTACCTATATTAGGTACTTTAGAAATTGTTTGTTGTAAATCAAGTGTACATGTTTAAATTTGTTATTAATTATTCAGGTTCTAAAGGAAATAATTATCCTTGCAATTAAAGCGGTTAAATGAATGTAAAATAGTTGAACTAGTCTTTTCCTACCAAGATTTCAACGCTCGAAGTTCATTGCTAATGCGATTTTAAAAATATACCTCTAGCATTATGAGACCGTAAGTAGGTACATTCAGATTCTACAATTATTTTATTAAAAGAAACCGCGTACCCTAATGTAGGTGATGTATTGAGACGCGGACGGCTTGCCCCCCTTTTCTTGCTGAAGGTCTTTGTGTAATTCTAGTATACGCGACCGCATCTGCAGAAGAATGTAATACTGGAGGGGGATGAACACATCGGATACGATACGGTCGAATTGCTTTCTAACCTACAGAAAACGATGACCAACAAAATATTGGTAGTAGGTACTTGCTTGCGGTTGTTCTCTTTTTTTCGTCCCTAGGTACTTGTAGCAAGGCGTTGAGATTAATTATAAGCAAATACTATACGTGTATACCAATTGTAAAGAACAAGGAAACAATGTGCCCAAATTGTTTTGTTCCAGTTCCACCGTTCAGAAGATATATTTATTGCAATTTAATTAATGGATAGGTATCTATACATGGCGCCATGGCCACAATATCTCTCAAATTAATTCCATTGTATTTACAAAATCTCAAATTAATTCTCCCAATTACACAACATTACACAACACAGATGAGATCTCGCTATAGAATTTCTATATCTTTAGCGCCAATCGCCAAACTGAGAATTTTCGCACCTTGATAGCAAAGCGCTGAGTGTAGTAATTGTAATTAGAGACGACTTATTGCTTTTACATAAAACTTATGGGAGCATTATGAAAATTCAACTGGTGTTTGTAAATTTTGCAAGGGAATAACATCCAGTTAGCCGCACCCTCACCACTTCCTCTAACCACAAAATCCAACACATTGTTTGGTTATTAACCGGGTTAAATTATCGTAAAGAATTAGTGATGGCGCTAAAAAGCTCAAAGTGGCGTTATCTATAGACATTCTAGAGCGCAACCTTTCATTAGTATTCAACAAGTTTCGACTTTGGTTCAGTTGGAAAACATATCATTGTAGAGATGCCTTAGCCCTTAGGAGTGAACGTTTTGAGAATGAAAGCATTACTAGTGGGTCTGGGAGGTATTCCATAACGCCCTTTCATTCCTAGGAGCATTGTATAGTAATACATATACAATGCTAGGAGGTATTCCATACTCCTCAGACCGCATGGTTTTACATTCTTCCCCAAAATGTTTAGTAGGCACCCTTCCCACCTACAGCTACACCACAATTTTTTACAAGAACCCTTAGCGAGATGATCAGATTGTAAAAACAATTGTATCAAAAAAGGTTAAATACTTGGTAATGATTCTATATATTTAGACGTTTTTGAAACTCGAGTGGAAGCGAAATAGAAAAAATCCCACTGGACCTAATTACAAAATTCTGATAGGAACAATATTAGTACAATTTTAATACTCGATAGCGTATTCGCATCTCCAGATGCAGTATGGTGCTTTATGGACATACCTACAGTACATTCTTGGCAAACTTTTATTAACAAACGTGACAATGGCAGCACAAAGAGATTATGTTGTGTTTTAATACTTCAATTGAATCATATGTCAGTTTGGCATCATTGCGGGCAGGAATAAGGATAGTGTTAGCGAAGAATGTACGCAAATCAGTTAGGGTCATTTAGTCCATAAGACCCCATACTGCATCTAGAGGTGCGGACGCGCTATAGTATACCCATTCAATGTGTGGATGAACCAAAATCAAGAAATGACTACACTGCTTTTTATTTTATTAAGCGAATGCAACGTCGAGTATGTGTGCTATGTACTACAACGCGAAGTATACTGTACAGGCGTACACAATCTCAATATATCAGGGGCCTGTAACACAAACTATACACTTGTAACAAGTTACCTGCCTGTAACTATAACGAGTCCTACTGAATTCGGTATATGCAAATGAGTATTAACAAAATAAATTATATATTACTAATCTAATCATTATAACAAAAATTTCAAATTAAATTTTTATTTTTAATATAAAAATTAAAACAAATTAAATTTTAATTTATTAATTTCTAATATATGAAAGAGCTACAAGTGTAAAATATATTTTAATAATTGTAGCACTTGTACGGTTAGTGTTACAGAAAACATTTTGCCGCTGCGCGTCGCCAAGTGAGAATCGGCCTTTAAAGTCAATTAGAAAATCTGAATATATCAGATTTGTCTATAACAGGTCAAACTAATCAAAAGCACAGCATAATTTTTGTACAGTTCTAAAGAATAAGTAAATATAAAGGACAAGGTAAGTAAAGAACTAGTTGAAACTGACTGGACATAGTGTTGTAAAATTCCCGTAATTTATTAATCATAGCGAATACTCAAGTAATGAAGACTGCACGTATACTTGTAACCGTTCAAGTAACTTCGTGAAATCGAGGTGGCCATTTAAAAACATGCAAGTATCAACTGGAAATTTCGGTATAATGTTTTCAAGAATTGATTGAAAATATTCGCTTTTTCAGTGCGAATATTTCCAAAAATATTGCAAAATTTGCTTTGTAAATATACGCGCCTAACAACACTAACTGGAGACATTCTTTGCTATAGGTACTGTGATAAACTAACGCTAGACATGTTTGGATGATAGGAACACAAAATTCCAATAAACCTAAAGTACAGAATGGTCTCACGTTTTTGAATGTTCGAGAAAGAAAAATACAATAATAAAACTTACAAACAGAAAATAAAATACTATTTTTCAAAGTACATATATTCTCAATATAATATAACATATATATTACACTATACATTAAGTAATTTGACATTTTCTAATCACATTGTATATACACACATTTCAGAATAAGAATAGCACGAAAGTGTGGAGGTGAAAAGAAATCAATTCTCTTCAAATATTGCACTTTGTTTCATTATGTAATCATTCGTTTACACAAGCTCTAAATTTCCCAATATATTCACATCGATTTTATAGTAAAATAGTAACAATAAAAATCATGTTCTTTCCTGTGGTGCATTAATTACAAAAACTTCATTTGATCACACACATTAATAATTCTGATAAAACTCCGCAAAGTAGCTATTGGGATGAAAATGTGGAATGTTCCACTGGTTCTCGGATAAAGAAGCAAACAGTTAAAAGCTCTACAAGCTGTGTGCTCATTTAGTTTAACATCAAGGTGAATTTATTGTTAGAAAATAATACGAATTACACTAGAAAAATCAACCAAGTAAGTTTGTGAATATTTTCAAATACCTACGCAAAAAGAATGTAGACAGTACTGGAATGCTGGAACTTAAAAGTAAAATACTGAACGGTACGTGAAAACTGTCAAAGTGACTAGAAGAGACGGAACATACCCCAATAAAAGATATCATTTACTTCATCTACATTCTAAGCGGTATCAATATCATTTTGTATAGTACCATCATCGACGTTAATCGAATCCCACTCTTTTTGCAAGTCCACTAGTTGCTTGCGTAATTTCGTCACCTGAGACCTCAGGTTTTTATCGTTTTGTATTAAACCCTGTATTTTTTGGAGCGTGTTCTTACTTTGGGTTTGGCTGATAACCCACCGTAGGTACAGATCGTTCCATAAAATTAAACTTACAGGCGCGACACTCGGCCATATTGTTGCCCTGTTTGGATCATACATGGGATTTAATAGAGACGTCATAATGTCGGGACGATTTAAGTACGACCACAAACTTGTTGTTCTTAATGTGTTCAGTTTCTCACGGTCGGCTTCACAGTTGCCAAGGAAGGTGCCTACAAAATGTTAAAAATATGAATAAAATTGTAGCTTCGATTATTATAGACTATAGCATGTAGGTAGGAGATACGATTCAACTAAAACAATTGAAATTGTTGCATACATGAATCATTAGAAGTTGTAATTAGTGAAATCGAAGATATTTTCTGTATTCTATAAGCTAAATTTTTTTTCGGGTTGTGCAAAATTCCTGGGAACGTTTTTAGATAGTTACTTCTTCCCTGATACTCATATTGGCTCAGTCTGTAAAAAATTGGACCAACGTTTATACTTGTTAACAATTTTGAAACATTTTATTTTTTACGGTTTTTAAATAGGTAGTAGGCCATGGATTTATAGATTTTGTTTTTTTTATTGTATTTTTGCCAGCTGATACCAATCGATAAAAATGGGTGATGTTAGAAACATGTAATTTCAAAATTTTGAAAAATATGATATAATATATAATTATATACAAAAATACAGGTTGTGATACATCAATATAATCAGGAAAACGAATGCAAATAATTCACGGTAAAATATACAGGGTGTTGCATTTCAAAAATACCAACAGTGGGTCAAATCTCAGAAACGTTGGTCCAAAAAATTTTTTTGACGAAGCCAGTAGATTCTACATAAAAATATCTAAAAGAACACCGTAGTCCAACCAAAATAGGACACACAGTAAACTAGAAGCTCTGTATCAGATGTCTCTGCCTACATACATCGAATATTACTTATTATTAATTAAGTCATGGACCCGCCATAGCCAGGGACGGACTGGGTACTTAAGGGCCAGGTGAAATTGCATAGGTTACAGGCCATTAAAGTATTTGTGTTAATGAAGGTGGCGGGAAGGGGGGGGGGGGTTTAGCTCTGAGGTGCACCGCAAAAACAGTACTCCTTTCTCGAACATCAATTACCATAGTTTTTTTTTTAATTGCAGCTGATAATTAAAAGTAACAAAATATACAATCCACACAAAGTGCGTCGCCTATCATTGTATTTCAGCACTTTCATGCTACGACAAAAAATGATTAATTCATTGTAAAACACTTCAATTAAAAAAGAATTTTTTAACAACCTAACATCAACCCCAATTAGAGAAACGTGTTAATAATTTTCAGCCCCGAAAAAAAATTGTCTCAGATCGACCCGGAAAAAAAATTTTCTTATAGAATGTGGCCTGTAGAATCCATAATTTCAAACAGTTCCAAGATTGGGCTACTAGTTTAAAAGTTACAGCCCTTTGAATTTTCTTTCGAAATTGGTTTCTAGTCTATAACTTTTGATTGAGAAGTCTGATCGAAAAAGTACGAATTGATTTGGATTCTACGTACCCAAAATAATAAGAAAAAGTGTTTTCCCGAGAAATTTTGGTGTAGTCGATTTTTGGTAAAAAAGGAAGGTAATACCTACACTGCCTTTTTTTGAGCCCCGGAGAAAAAATTGTCTCAGATCGACCCGACAAAAAATGATAAATTCATTGTAAAACACTTCAATTAAAACAGAATTTTTTAACAACCTAACATCAACCCCAATTAGAGAAACGTGTTAATAATTTTTAATAGTGCAAGAAACTAAATACAGCACATACTTATAAATTTCCAACGGGCCATTATGATCTACAGGCCAGGTGGCAATCGCCACCCGCCCCCCCGGATCAGTCCGCCACTGGCCATAGCTCCTTCTATGTTATTATAATAATTGTAAAAATATTACTTTAATATTAATGTAAACAGATTGTTATATATATTAATGGGATGATAAATAAAAAAAAGATATTAACAAAAATACGAGAAAAAACTGTAATATGACATATTTTACCATTTGTAACAGTAATCACAGATACTTACCAAATTGACTAAAATACGAATGCTCAAAAAGGAGCACCAACATATGAGTAGTGAATTCAAAACTGCAAGGAAATTGGTGATGAAGTTGCTGTACGCAATCCAAAAACAATACAAAAGTTGGTTGAATTTGCTTGTTTTTGATATTGCTGTAGCAACCCTTCACGTGACGACTTTGAAATGGATGTCCCGCTTGTAACCATTCCCTTTCAATTAAGGCTTGCAATCCTATAATAAACATATTAACTGAACTCTTCCAAAGACCATATACCTCTAACTGTCCTGCAATCGGGATTAAGAATTACTTGCACAATGGATGTGACTAGAAGAGTTGTATCGAAACCGTACGTTCCATGAACAAGAACAGAAACGCCTTCTTGATCCAAACATTGGGCAACTAAACAAGCTGCATTTAAAGAGCTTTGTACAAAGGTCAGCCAGTTGCTATTTTCTAATCGAGACATCCATTTATCCGAAGAGCAGTTTACATCATTTACAGCTAAAAGACACGCAACTAAACAGCTAACATCAGTATAACAACTCACCTTCCATCAATTTCGCAAAACTCTCCAAAATGACACCATTGCAATTGGAAATTTTATCTAAATTCTTATGAATCCTCCTCCATTGTGGATAATTCCCATCCGGTTCAGTACCACCGCCTTTAGTTTTGCACTGACTTGCAGTACTCGCCGATCTCGTATCAATTATGTAACCTTTATTTGTTGTTCCCAAAACTGCATTTACGATCTTCTCATCGGATCTTGACCTCTTGTTATTAGCACCAACAAGTGGCTGCGAGCTTCTCAACAAGACTGCTCCGTTGTCATGCCGATAACTAAGCATTGGAAACCTTCCACCCTCTCTGAAATTTGCAGCCGCTGTCAGTGTGTCGTCGTCAATGCACTTGGGAACAACCAGACTAGGACCGTAAGTAGGACAAACCGAATAATCCTTATTCACTGTACTTAGTCTCCACTCATCACTTGCGATTAATTTAGAAAATTCCAATTCCGGTTTAAACAAATTATGTCCGTCTTCGAGAATTGTATACATTGGTCTATAAAAAAATGGGTACATTAATGTCGGATTATCTAAATTGGAAAGGCGCTCGAGAGAATAATAAACATTATGTAGATCATCCGTGTTATTTATATCTAACTGAATTACTTGTAAATCTTTGCACTTCAGTATAAGGGAACCGCCGTTTAAATTGGAATTATTGTTGTTTATTCTCTTCTCGACAAAGTCAATGCTCTGATGAAGTAACTAAAATGAGAATGATGCCTAAGAGTGCCGGTTGATGTTAAGTTCTACCCAAATTTCTTGTTCGTGCTCCTTTCTAGAAGATAGTATGAGGTGGTGACTAGTTATGCACAGCATAGCATCAAGAGGGTCGTGAAACGCATTGTGAAGAACGACGTCATCTAATTTTGGTATTCGTATCAATTCTGAAAATTCCATTACAAAAATATAATTGTTGGATTTCGATGGTTGAATAAGTGAGGTTGGAAAATCAAAACGCCTCTGTACATTGGAACTACTACGAGTGAACTAAGAACTACTTTTGTATAACCATTGATTATACAGTGTGTTTATCAATGGTATAACACTCAGGGACCGGTAATTGAAAGAGCCTGATCTAAAAAAAAATGCAAAAATGAACTAGTAGGTAAAATTCATACTTTAAACAGTATTTACGCTGTAATAATGAATAAAATGATTTTTAGGTAGTGTCACAAGTTTGAGAACTACTGAACTTTACCATAAATATAACCTAACAAAATTAAAAAATAATTTAAATAAATTTCCCTTATTTTAATCTAATTATAAATCAATAATCCAAAATTAAATAATGCAATAATTTAGTTTATTTCATTATGCTAAGAAGCAGTTTTATTTGTTTAAGTAGTCCATTTAAATTGTATCTGTTTACTCAAAGATACATTATTAGTTTTCCCCCATTACTTAAACATGTTTTTATTAAATGTTGACAATAAGGTGTTGGTGACCTTGTGACAGCATGGTATAAATAAAAGATTCCCACGATAAATTCTCATGTACTGACCCACCGTAACTTAAAAATCTTGTCTTCAGAGTCTACATTATTTTATGCAGAAATATGATGAAAGACAAAAAAATTGTTTGTCCCCTACTGTTAGATAAGGAAACATATTTGCCAGATACAATCGATTTGTTAAATGACAAAGAAGCTATTAGCTACTGGTTACCGTGCCTTGAGGAAATGGCACGGAATTTTGTTAATAAAGTTTCATACTTGTGTCCTCACGACAAAACCGCGACGGAGCGAGCGAAGTACACCTGGCAGAAATTTCACGATTTTATCGAGCAAATTAAATACAACCCACAGTAGGTGACCTGAGAGTTTCTTTAAGCCGTTCTAAAATGTTTTCTAGGCAGTTTAAACCGTTGAGTATACGTACTTTACTGGAGTTTAACGAGGAGAACTTGCGAAAGAGCAACTTTGACGATCCGTGGTTGCTGCAAAAACAAAAGGAGACCGTTGCCGCATTCACACAATATCAAGATAGAGTGAATTTCGTTGACTCCATCGAAGATTTTTATTTAAAATGGGAGGAGCTGTCGAAAGGTCTGGTTGCGGGCAACTTGTTCGATTGGGGCGCGAAGGCTATAGCTGACATTTTGGAGGAGTGCAATGGGTTCGGATTAACACACGCGATGCAAAAAATACAGCAAAGACCGTGGTTTCACGACGATTTAGATAAATGGATTAGTAAATTGAAGGTATTCGACGGTGTTTAGTTGTATAAGTACTAATGACTCTCTTTTAAGAGAACGCCATATGTTAAGGCTGTTGTATTCATAGATAATGCTGGAGTGGATTTCGTATTAGGTGTTCTTCCTTTAACACGCGAATTATTAAAACAAGGCACAAGTGTTGTTTTAACAGCGAACTCGGGACCAGCATTGAATGATGTTACTTACAGTGACTTAGAAGTCTATTTAAAAAGTGCCGAACAAAAATGTGATGTACTAAGAGATGCAATTGCAAACAATAGACTGATGGCCATTGAAAATGGACAGAAAGGGCCTTGTCTCGATCTACGCACCTTACACAATGGTAATTGTACAAATCCTGTGTGAGGTAGCATTTATGCTATTGCTTTACAGAATTGTGCGCGGAAATGCAGACCGCCGATCTTTTAATTTTGGAAGGAATGGGACGAGCAGTTCATACAAATTTGAAGGCCAAGTTTAAAGTTGACTGTCTTAAACTAGCGGTGCTTAAAAATGAGTGGCTGGCAAAAAATTTAGGTGCTCAGCAATTTTCCGTTATATTTCAATATGATCCCGCACCTCTCCCAAAAGTGCAATGAACTAAATTATTAGTTTTAAAAAGTATCTTAACAAGTAGGGGATGTTCATAATTTTTTACATGTAACGCTTATCTTCTCCTTTAAAAATTTATTGTTTTTCGTTTTGAAATTTTATGAATTCAGTACAGAATTGAATTGTAAATGATCCATCAATTTTATGTAACATTTTGACCTGTAAGTTTATTCATCCAGAAATGATTGTTTTAAAGCATTTTGTGGTTGTTACTATAGTTTCCTATTTTACCGGGTGCAAGAGTTTCTTTGAAATCATCTGCAAAATGCAATAATATGTATATACATTTAAGAAAAAAAGATGTGATTTTTAATTTTATGCCTAATTAAATGTAAGTACATAAAGTACCGATCAATAAAGTATTTTCACATGAATGTATATTTACATTTTCCCTAATACAAAGATTTATCAAGTTCTAATAGTGATAGTGGTTTCTAGCATGGGCGTCTGTAATTTACAACTCTTGTCTACAGTGCTCTGCTCTTGCAAGTTAAGGCGCCGCTCTAGTTGGCAACACATCATACTTCTCAATCAAAAGTTATAGACTAGAAACCAATTTCGAAAGAAAATTCGAGGGGCTGTAACTTTTGAACTAGTAGCCCAATCTTGGAACTGTTTGAAATTATGGATTCTACAGGCCACATTCTATAAGAAAAATTTTTTTCCGGGTCGATCTGAGACAATTTTTTTTGCGGGCCTCAAAAAAAGGCAGTGTATAACCTTCCTTTTTTACCAAAAATCGACTGCACCAAAATTTCTCGGGGAAACACTTTTTCTTATTAATTTTGGTGCGTAGAATCCAAAACAATTCGTACTTTTTCGATCAGACTTCTCAATCAAAAGTTATAGACTAGAAACCAATTTCGAAAAAAAATACAAAGGGCTGTAACTTTTGAACTAGTAGCCCAATCTTGGAACTGTTTGAAATTATGGATTCTACAGGCCACATTCTATAAGAAAATGTTTTTTCCTGTCGATCTGAGACAATTTTTTTTTCGGGCCTCAAAAAAAGGCAGTGTATAACCTTCCTTTTTTACAAAAAATCGACTACACCAAAATTTCTCGGGAAAACACTTTTTCTTATTAATTTTGGTGCGTAGAATCCAAAACAATTCGTAGTTTTTCGATTAGATTTTTCAATCAAAAGTTATAGACTAGAAACCAATTTCGAAAGAAAATTCAAAGGGATGTAACTTTTGAAATAGTAGCCCAATGTTGGAACTGTTTGAAATTATGGACTCTCGATCGATCTCGATCTCAGACAATTTTTTTTCCGGCCTCAAAAAAAGGCAGTACTTTTAAGATATTCATATATTTGAGAACAATTTAGAAATGTTTAGGGAAAGTTTCCATTGTCACAAAATCAAATATAAAAATCCGATACATTTGAATACCGAACTCAATAATCTACGTAACTTAAAAACAATAGGGACCTTTCTTATATCTTTAAGACCATGTGTACCAATTTTCAAAGCGATCGCACGTTTCTAAACAAGTTATCATGCACACGGACAAACGGATGGTCAAAAATGGATCTGTTCCAAAATTGCTACGATTAATTTCAGAAAGGCGTACGTATCATGTGCACGACGTACGATCGCTTTGAAAACTGGTACACGTATTCTTAAGGATATAACTGGTATAAGAAAGGTCCTGGTAGGTACCTCCTATATAATAATACCTATAATAATAATAATAAACCATAAATACAAGTAACGCAACATGCACTACAAAGACAGGTCCACCCAATAAAGTTACACGCGCTAGCACAGTTAAAAAACACATAACTCCTTCTTCACCGAAGCACACCACTATCGTACGTACGTCGTGCACATGATACGTACGCCTTTCTGAAATTAATCCTAGCGATTTTGGAACAGATCCATTTTTGACCATCCGTTTGTCCGTGTGCATGATAACTTGTTTAGAACCCACTCGTATTCAACCCAAACGCAAAAACCTATACAGCACTACTAGCTCACAAAATACTGTAATATCTCCACCAAAAACCCAAGCAACCTCACAAATACAACCTCAAGAACAAAGAAACACCATAAATACAAGTAACGCAACATGTACTACAAAGACAGGTCCATCCAATAAAGTTACACGCCCTAGCACACTTAAAAAACACAATACTCCTTCTTCTCTGAAACAACCCACTCGTATACAACCGAAGCTCAAAAACCTTAACAGCATCACAGGCTCACAAAATACTGCAATATCTCCACCAAAAACCCAAGCAACCTCACAAATACGACCTCAGGAACAAAGAAACACCATAAATACAAATAAAAAACACAAAACTCCTTCTTCACAGCAACACACCAGGTTATCACAACCCACTCGTATTCAACCCAAACGCAAAGCCAAAGAAACACTTACACAATAAACTCCATTTAATAAAATTACAGGAATTATTATAATGATTTTTTTGTTTTGTTTTGTTTTCCTCTTTCCTGATAGCGTTGGCTATTGTGCCCATCAATAGGTATGTTGGTAAGTACGAATTACATACTATCCCTAGATGTCCAATGTACGTGTGTGATTTTTTTTTTTTTTTAAGGACCCTACATAACTTCATCAGACACAGACACTAATCGTTACTTGATTTTAATCCGTGCGATTAGTTAACCAGGCTAGACCTGAGTTCTCACAAGAAACACAGACCATAATAATAATACGCTTTTACTCCCCTTAAATTTGTATATAACAATAGAAATATAAAAACAGCTAACCCCATACAAAGTATAACTTGATTTTTTAAGTAGTATTAAGCCTTTTATCTAGTATACTATTTTAAATTTTTAATGTATTTGAGTGACAAGTATTTGAATACTTTTTACTGCATTCGAATATTTTTCAAAGTAGATAATGAAATACTTTTTATAGTATTCGAATACATTCTAAAGTATTTGAATACTTATTTTTTTAAGTATTTGAATACTTTTCAATGTATCTGTATCTAGTATTCGCTTGTACTGGACGTAAAAGTATTTAGTATTCAAATACCTTTGATTTGTGTAAAGTATTTACTATTTAGTATTCAAATACTTTTTGAAAGTATTCTGCCCAGCTCTGATTTGACTGTGTCGGGTTATTTTATTTAAATAGTAATATTCACCTTCCACATTAAAACTTGGAAGAGATACGTTAGATATGTTGCTTAAAGCACTTTCTGGACAAATCAATAACCACGAAAATCTCAACGGAACTGATTTGGAAAAACAGACTTTTATCGAAACACCTTAATTAATATTGGTAGTAGCATTGAATAAGTTGATTACTTATTCAATGGTAGTAGAGATGCAAATAAATTGCCGAGACCTTTAGAAAAACAATAATGTGCTAAGAGTTGCCATGGCACACGCCACAAATGCTGTATAAATTAATTTATTGGATTAAATTATCAAATTTCGCTCCTATACATATCCTTAACCAACAACCAAAACAGCCTACAAATGTAAACTCCCAATCCCAACTTCCCAATCACCTTTTTGATGGGACCACCTTTGATTAGTCGCCTCTTACGACTTGCAGGTGTGGCTCTGCAGTAGGGTTATTCTTTCCCGCCCCTACACGGGATAACCGATGGAATGGAAGTCTTTAAATCTAGTGCAAAATGAATTAGATTAGAGTGCAAACTAACGGCCGCTCTCGATTGGGTGCATAATTTTTTTGTCGCTATAAGATGGAACCCCCTGTATATATCTGACATAGTGACACAGTGCTACCACCATAACGACTTGTACCTAAAAATCCTCTCGTTTCCTGCGCGTTCATTGCGCCGTTTGTTTTTGCTTTGGTAAGTACGTTTGTATGGAGCAGCGAAATAATTTAAATCCTCAATATATTTCCTCATCTTCATCTCAATGAAAGTGCAAAATCGAAATGCCCCATTTAAACTTGTCCCCCATTTGTTTTAAGCATATATTTTTGTCATGAAGTATAAATTAAGATTTTTTTGAGGTTAAATTTCTCACGTTTCAAAACTGCAAAAGTTGCACGATACCATAATTCAATAGTAATGCATGTTCATTTTTCAGTCCTTAAATTCGTCAACGAGTCTCTACACACAACACGATGGGTAGAGAGGATAAAGCTACCTGGAAAAGCAACTATTTCACCAAACTTATTGTAAGTATATCTAAACAACACGTTGCCATTCCAAAATGTAGATCATGATGACATATTTTTCGTCTCTGAAACCGCATTTGCTAGAGCCAGAAATGGCTGAACCCACTAGCACAATGCGGCCTCTTGTGGATAACTTAATCTGACATTGCGTATGCGAATTAAAGAATCAAGGAAGCACTTGACCTTCTCTAAGCTTGTGTTTTGTTATAGCAATTACTTGAAGATTACCCAAAGTGTTTCATCGTAGGCGCTGACAATGTCGGCTCTAAGCAGATGCAACAAATTCGTATGTCCGTACGTGGCAATGCAGTCGTACTTATGGGAAAGAACACCATGATGCGTAAGGTCATCAAGGGTCATTTGGAGAGAAACCCAGCTTTAGAAAAGCTGCTTCCTCACATTCGCGGCAATGTCGGCTTCGTGTTCACACGTAGCGACCTGGTTGAAGTTCGTGACAAAATCTTGGAGAATAAAGTACGCGCTCCCGCTAGGCCAGGTGCCATCGCGCCCTTAAACGTTATCATTCCCGCACAAAACACCGGTTTGGGACCGGAGAAAACCTCTTTCTTTCAAGCTCTCGCAATTCCGACCAAGATTTCGAAAGGTACCATTGAAATCATCAACGATGTCTTCATCTTAAAACCTGGAGATAAAGTCGGTGCTTCCGAGGCTACCCTCTTGAATATGTTAAACATTTCCCCATTCTCGTACGGGCTCAACATTCAGCAAGTGTACGATTCCGGCACCATTTTCCATCCAGATATTTTGGATATCAAGCCCGAAGATTTACGCGAAAAATTCTTAGCCGGTGTTGCCAATTTGGCTGCGGTATGTTTGTCGATTGGTTATCCAACTGTCGCCTCTGCACCCCACAGCATTGCTAATGGTTTCAAAAACTTGTTGGCTATTGCTGCAGTTACAGACATCGAGTTCAAGGAAGCTACAACCGTCAAGGAATTTATTAAGGTATTATTGTTAAAGGTTTGTAACAATTAAGTGCTCAAATTTTAATTTTTAGGATCCAAGTAAGTTTGCAGCGGCTGCTGCTGTTGCTGCACCTGCTGCTGCGTCGGCGGCAGTAAGCAAATCTGCTGCTCCTGCTAAAGAAGAGAAGAAAGAAGAATCTGAGAGTGAAGATGAAGATATGGGTTTCGGTCTGTTTGACTAAACTTTTTGTTGTATAGAGCTGGCCGTCAATAAATTGGATGAAACATGTTTTGTTGCTTTTGGTTTATTTCCATGTTTGGTTTACTTGCATGCTAGAACTGTTACCTACAGTATCAATTTAGGGCAAAACTATCATTGCTAAACAAAAAATCTTTGAAATTGAGATGTATATTTCAAATTAAAAGTTGCACAAGGAATGAATCACTTATGGGAAATCTATGCCCTGTGGCTGAATTTGTTCAGTGTTCACAAGAACGAGAGACATTTTTTGTCAAGAGGTACATTACCCTAAAGTTTAGCTCTAAGGTAATGTACGCCCACTTCAAAACCGGATTACACACACTATGGGACTTCTAAAACATTTTCCTACTACCCTGTAGGCTCCTTAACTGTTCAATATTATTTCTAAAAAATTTGACGCCAATGGTCTTCATTCCAAAGAATATTTGTCCCCCATAAAACTTGTTGCCAGATTCGCCCCTGAGGTTTTCCCCGTCAGAATACGTCAGATTTGTTGCTTCACGGAAAATTTGCATATAGGTAAGTTCCATACGAAACCAAATGGCCCGGGACTATTTTGATTGCTATAAGGAAAATTCAGTCCCAGAAAGATTACCACATTGTCATCTGCTACCAAAAATTAGCAATCACTTCCACTATATACAGTAAATGTTTTCGGCTAAGGCGGCCAACCGTCCCGTATTCAGCGGGACAGTCCCGTGATGGCAAAGGCAATCCCGCATTCAAAAAATTAACAAATATGTCCCGGAATTAAACTAATGTGTCCCGCGAGTCCCGCTTTTCGCTTTTGTAGTAGTGTTACCCAAATTCATGTAAACGAGACAACGCCAACGAGCAAAGCGATTACTTGTAATGAAATAAGAAATTCATTCATTATTACTCACTAATGATAATGCCTTGAATGCCATCAATTCTGAAAAAAAGTATTCATTTAAAATTAAAGATAATTAAATTAACGTTCTGTTTTTTAAGACCTATAGCACTACATAATACTATGTATGCATGTCTCTTGTACGTTTGTTTTTTTAATAATATAAATATTTTTTAACTTTGCGTAAGTTTTTAATTGGAAAATGAGTAAGCAAGTGGGGGGGGGGGGGGGGTTCGCAGTGGTGTCCCGATTTTTTAACATGGAAAGTTGGTCACCTTATGTTTTCCTATATACCTATTGACTATATAAGTATACTTTAAAACAGTGTAAATATATGGTGGCTGTCGGGAACCAACATTACACGCGATAAAATTCGTCGAATGCTAATAATAAAAATAAAGATAAATAAAATCAACCCTTTCTGCAGTTGAATACACGGTACAAAATCAAAGCAACAATATTCATTTAATAATAGACATAGGGAAAACAATACAATTGCATACCTCTTAATAAATACCACTGAGTATACCTACTCGTGGTTTAAGTTGCCAAAATATTTCTTCATTAATTTGTGGACGCAAAGGAGGTTTGTCAAGTTTAATTAGTTTTTTGCTCGAAAACCATATATCAATCAGAAACAATGACGATTATTTACCGTGTCGTCTGTCACTTATGACGTGATTGTACATCCCTCACAAATTCGACACTTGATTATGTAGTACATAATCAAAGGTTGACACTGTCAATCAACATGTGTATTAGTTAGTATGGATGGTGGAGTCTATTCCAATTGTCAAACAACACTGCCACCTTGGCAGCTTTATACCGATATCCTAATAGGCCCTTCAACAACAGACGACACGTCATAACTGGCACGTTTTGTTCCTTGATACCTAAATATATATTAGTGCAAATTTAATAAGATGTTTGATTTTTGCAACTGAGGTGCAATAAAAAAACTTTCGGACCGCCTATATAAATAAATATGAATGTTTGTCTATTATGCCTCCCTTAACCGTTTATGATGAAACTTTGGGAATGATTAGACCTATGCCCGTGATGGATTCTGGTATACGAAGACCCTTTTCAAAATTCCCAGGAACTGGAAAAAAACGGGATTTTACGTTTTACAGTCGAATCTATGGAAAAGGGAATTGACATTTAGCATGTAGGTTTCGTTGAAGGTGCAAAATGGCACTCCGAAAGCACTTCCCGAAATTCCCACAGGAACGGGAAAAAATGGGCACACACAATTCACCGGCTGGCGGCACAAAGTTCACAGGCATTAACAATACTTTTTAATAATGAACGAGATGTATGGAATTATAACATATAATAAAATGAAAACAAATGTATAGATTTATATAGGCATACATTTAAAAATAAGAAAATGATCGTAGTAAATAAGTATAGGTATAATTATAAAACATTTCAACTACACACGTAAACGTACTTCAGTTTATTCCATACTGTTGGCTTTACTATCCCTATCACTGCCATCATTAACGTTAATTAAGTATAACTGGGTTAATAATATTGTCCGTTAAATCGGTTAAATAATCAATATTCCACAATGACTTTTCTCTACTCTTAATTATATGTTTGCATGGTAGGTAATTATTTGATTTTTGTGGAATAACTTGAGAAAAAACTTCATGTATTAGGTTTTCTACGTCTTTTTTTTTAAATTTGGGTAATGTTTTGCCACATATCCTATGACTTCACTCCAACACACATTAGGATACTAGATCCAAAACAGCTCGGATTTTCAGTAGCCTTCTTTGAAATAGATATCCTTTGAACGCAGCCCATTTAATATTTCCTCCTTTACAAAATTGTTTGTATCACTTTCCACACTTCCTGGACTGATACGACGCATTATCCATTACCACAACAGTTTTCTCGGGAATAAGTATTAGGAAAAAGTTTAGTTTTAAACCAAGTTATGAAAAAAGTTCCGTCCAATTCGTTGTGATATTCTGATGTATTCTTCTTTGCCATGAAAGTTAGTTCGACCCGTTAATAAAACCATCTTCACTTCCTGCACAGAAAAAAAGGCATCATTGACAGCATACAGTCAAGGGGCTTTCAAACCTGTAGTGACAATATTTATGTCCCTACATGACGATATAGAAGTGTGTGTCCATTCATAATTGACACAAACCTCCATCCAGTGGTCTACGTGACAAGTCTGTGCCGATTCTCCGAATGTTGAATACGATTTCATCCTTAAAGCAAAAGAAAGTATTAATGTCCAGTGGGAACCCATTTTCTGCTATACGTTAATGACTTAAAATCTGTGAAAGTTGTCGACAGTAACCAAATCAAGCTCTAATGGGTTCTGCCATTGCTGGCTCTAGTTTGAAATGGTTTCCAAGATAGAATAAAACATCATTACACCTAACAGAACAGAGATGGCATGATGTGAAGTTGTACACACCTTTATCCATTGGTCTAAGGGACAAATCTGTGCTGATTCTCCAAATGTTGAGAACGATTTCATCCTAAAAGGAAAAGTAAGTATTAATGTCCAGTGGGAACCCATTTTCTGCTACGTTAATGACTTAAAATCAGTGAAAGTTGTCGACAGTAACCAAATCAAGCTCTAGTGGGTTCTGCCATTGCTGGCTCTAGTTTGAAAAGGTTTCCAAGATAGAATAAAACATCATTACACCTAACGGAACAGAGATAGAATGATGTGAAGTTGTACAAACCTTTATCCGTTAGTCCATGAGACAAATCTGTGCCGATTCTCCGAATGTTGAATACGATTTCGTCCTAAAAGCAAAAGTAAGTATTAATGTCCAGTGGGAACCCATTTTCTGCTACGTTAATGACTTAAAATCAGTGAAAGTTGTCGACAGTAACCAAATCAAGCTCTAGTGGGTTCTGACATTGCTGGCTCTAGTTTGAAAAGGTTTCCAAGATAGAATAAAACATCATTACACCTAACAGAACAGAGATGGCATGATGTGAAGTTGTACACACACCTTTATCCATTGGTCTAAGGGACAAATCTGTGCTGATTCTGCAAATGTTGAGAACGATTTCATCCTAAAAGGAAAAGTAAGTATTAATGTCCAGTGGGAACCCATTTTCTGCTACGTTAATGACTTAAAATCAGTGAAAGTTGTCGACAGTAACCAAATCAAGCTCTAGTGGGTTCTGCCATTGCTGGCTCTAGTTTGAAAAGGTTTCCAAGATAGAATAAAACATCATTACACCTAACGGAACAGAGATAGAATGATGTGAAGTTGTACAAACCTTTATCCGTTAGTCCATGAGACAAATCTGTGCCGATTCTCCGAATGTTGAATACGATTTCGTCCTAAAAGCAAAAGTATTAATGTCCAGTGGGAACCCATTTTCTGCTACGTTAATGACTTAAAATCAGTGAAAGTTGTCGACAGTAACCAAATCAAGCTCTAGTGGGTTCTGACATTGCTGGCTCTAGTTTGAAAAGGTTTCCAAGATAGAATAAAACATCATTACACCTAACAGAACAGAGATGGCATGATGTGAAGTTGTACACACACCTTTATCCATTGGTCTAAGGGACAAATCTGTGCTGATTCTGCAAATGTTGAGAACGATTTCATCCTAAAAGGAAAAGTAAGTATTAATGTCTCTAGTGGGTTCTGCCATTGCTGGCTCTAGTTTGAAAAGGTTTCCAAGATAGAATAAAACATCATTACACCTAACAGAACAGAGATGGCATGATGTGAAGTTGTACACACCTTTATCCATTGGTCTAAGGGACAAATCTGTGCTGATTCTCCAAATGTTGGGAACGATTTCATCCTAAAAGCAAAAGTAAGTATTAATGTCCAGTGGGAACCCATTTTCTGCTACGTTAATGACTTAAAATCAGTGAAAGTTGTCGACAGTAACCAAATCAAGCTCTAGTGGGTTCTGCCATTGCTGGCTCTAGTTTGAAAAGGTTTCCAAGATAGAATAAAACATCATTACACCTAACGGAACAGAGATAGAATGATATGAAGTTGTACAAACCTTTATCCGTTAGTCCATGAGACAAATCTGTGCCGATTCTCCGAATGTTGAATACGATTTCGTCCTAAAAGCAAAAGTAAGTATTAATGTCCAGTGGGAACCCATTTTCTGCTACGTTAATGACTTAAAATCAGTGAAAGTTGTCGACAGTAACCAAATCAAGCTCTAGTGGGTTCTGCCATTGCTGGCTCTAGTTTGAAAAGGTTTCCAAGATAGAATAAAACATCATTACACCTAACAGAACAGAGATGGCATGATGTGAAGTTGTACACACCTTTATCCATTGGTCTAAGGGACAAATCTGTGCTGATTCTCCAAATGTTGAGAACGATTTCATCCTAAAAGGAAAAGTAAGTATTAATGTCCAGTGTGAACCCATTTTCTGCTACGTTAATGACTTAAAATCAGTGAAAGTTGTCGACAGTAACCAAATCAAGCTCTAGTGGGTTCTGCCATTGCTGGCTCTAGTTTGAAAAGGTTTCCAAGATAGAATACAAACCATCATCTACACCTAACGGAACAGAGATAGAATGATGTGAAGTTGTACAAACCTTTATCCGTTAGTCCATGAGACAAATCTGTGCCGATTCTCCGAATGTTGAATACGATTTCGTCCTAAAAGCAAAAGTAAGTATTAATGTCCAGTGGGAACCCATTTTCTGCTACGTTAATGACTTAAAATCAGTGAAAGTTGTCGACAGTAACCAAATCAAGCTCTAGTGGGTTCTGCCATTGCTGGCTCTAGTTTGAAAAGGTTTCCAAGATAGAATAAAACATCATTACACCTAACAGAACAGAGATGGCATGATGTGAAGTTGTACACACCTTTATCCATTGGTCTAAGGGACAAATCTGTGCTGATTCTGCAAATGTTGAGAACGATTTCATCCTAAAAGGAAAAGTAAGTATTAATGTCCAGTGGGAACCCATTTTCTGCTACGTTAATGACTTAAAATCAGTGAAAGTTGTCGACAGTAACCAAATCAAGCTCTAGTGGATTCTGCCATTGCTGGCTCTAGTTTGAAAAGGTTTCCAAGATAGAATAAAACATCATTACACCTAACGGAACAGAGATAGAATGATGTGAAGTTGTACAAACCTTTATCCGTTAGTCCATGAGACAAATCTGTGCCGATTCTCCGAATGTTGAATACGATTTCGTCCTAAAAGCAAAAGTAAGTATTAATGTCCAGTGGGAACCCATTTTCTGCTACGTTAATGACTTAAAATCAGTGAAAGTTGTCGACAGTAACCAAATCAAGCTCTAGTGGGTTCTGCCATTGCTGGCTCTAGTTTGAAAAGGTTTCCAAGATAGAATAAAACATCATTACACCTAACGGAACAGAGATAGAATGATGTGAAGTTGTACAAACCTTTATCCGTTAGTCCATGAGACAAATCTGTGCCGATTCTCCGAATGTTGAATACGATTTCGTCCTAAAAGCAAAAGTAAGTATTAATGTCCAGTGGGAACCCATTTTCTGCTACGTTAATGACTTAAAATCAGTGAAAGTTGTCGACAGTAACCAAATCAAGCTCTAGTGGGTTCTGCCATTGCTGGCTCTAGTTTGAAAAGGTTTCCAAGATAGAATAAAACATCATTACACCTAACGGAACAGAGATAGAATGATGTGAAGTTGTACAAACCTTTATCCGTTAGTCCATGAGACAAATCTGTGCCGATTCTCCGAATGTTGAATACGATTTCGTCCTAAAAGCAAAAGTATTAATGTCCAGTGGGAACCCATTTTCTGCTACGTTAATGACTTAAAATCAGTGAAAGTTGTCGACAGTAACCAAATCAAGCTCTAGTGGGTTCTGCCATTGCTGGCTCTAGTTTGAAAAGGTTTCCAAGATAGAATAAAACATCATTACACCTAACAGAACAGAGATGGCATGATGTGAAGTTGTACACACCTTTATCCATTGGTCTAAGGGACAAATCTGTGCTGATTCTGCAAATGTTGAGAACGATTTCATCCTAAAAGGAAAAGTAAGTATTAATGTCCAGTGGGAACCCATTTTCTGCTACGTTAATGACTTAAAATCAGTGAAAGTTGTCGACAGTAACCAAATCAAGCTCTAGTGGGTTCTGCCATTGCTGGCTCTAGTTTGAAAAGGTTTCCAAGATAGAATAAAACATCATTACACCTAACAGAACAGAGATGGCATGATGTGAAGTTGTACACACCTTTATCCATTGGTCTAAGGGACAAATCTGTGCTGATTCTCCAAATGTTGAGAACGATTTCATCCTAAAAGCAAAAGTAAGTATTAATGTCCAGTGGGAACCCATTTTCTGCTACGTTAATGACTTAAAATCAGTGAAAGTTGTCGACAGTAACCAAATCAAGCTCTAGTGGGTTCTGCCATTGCTGGCTCTAGTTTGAAAAGGTTTCCAAGATAGAATAAAACATCATTACACCTAACGGAACAGAGATGGAATGATGTGAAGATGTACAAACCTTTATCCATTAGTCTATGTGACAAATCTGTGCAGATTATCCTAGTTTCTGTGTGAAGTTGCTAGGTATTCAAGTTGATCAACATTTAACTTACATAAACAAAACATGTACCTACACGTGTTTTAAAATGTCAAAAGGTAATATGACAAAACCCTGTGTGTATTCATATATATACTTCTTCTCTTATATATATGTGTGTATTGAATGGTTGGAATCATGAAGTTAGAGGTGTTTACATTGAGTACTTTTTGTGCTACCAACCTCTGAAACTTAAACTTGTGTCTGTAGTTTCCAAATAAATAAACTTAATGGTGGGTTTATAATTTATACCTACCATCGTTATAACTAATTCACTAATGGCCGTATTAATCGACCAATTTAAGAATTTTAAGAGGAGCTTTGTTTAAGCGTTGTTTAAAATCCAAGGCAACCATTGTCGCAATAAGTAATTATTGCCATGAATTATAAGCTATGCTTAAGCTCAGCCTCGCTTAAAATATGTGGGTGCATATAGCCATCATGTTCAGGCAGCAATTGTATCATCGGCTGTAACTTTCATGGACCGCTACCACTGCAAAGCTCCGCCATATAAAATCCTAGATGTCCGCCGCATGGGCACTACTTGGACTATTCCAATCAGAGTCACTTTGAATCTCCTCCTCCTGGGTCACATGTTACACTCGAGCTGCCATCTCCATCACATTCTAGGTCCAGATTCCCATTCTGCCACTTGTCAGACACTATAGTAACAGTTAGGTACATCATATTCTCCTCCAGAACAACGAGCTGAAATCATCGCTTGCTAAAGTTCTGGGCAACACTCCAGGCAATGGAAAGAAAGTGTTATAATACTTCAATGACATTATCATGATACATACCACAATTCAGTTCCATTTACTGTTTCATATTGTACCTATCTTCAAAGTTCCAAGGCTAATAACCCACGAGGTTGATGCATACCTTTAAAGAAAAAAAAAGTAGTTTAAATCTATATTGAATATTCATTTACATAATACATAGCCATACAGTGCGTTTAAGAGGGTCACCTCAATAGTATCCCTTTTATAATCGCATATTGAAACTTTTCAAATGAAATGCCTATGTTTTCTAGGATATTTGAATAACAGTGTTCTATTTTTTTTTCTAATTTGTTTAAATGTTCTATATAGCACAACATAAAATATAGATACCTATGCATATAGTTGATATACCTAGGTACTATGCGATCAAAAATGAGTTGCTGTCGAGTCACCTTTAGAATTTTTTTTACATGGGAAAACATACTTTAACTTGAACTTCCAAAGGCGACTCGACAGTAATTCATTTTTGATCGCCCATTTCAAGAAAACGGATTTTCGAAAGTCAGAAACCTTGGTAGAAAACAGCATGATATTTTGTTCCTGTTGACTATCCCCATAGTTATTTACATAAACGTCAGGAAGATCATACATTAGTGGTGAGGAAATATTGAAGTGCGAGTACTTTAATTTCCGAGTCAGGCAATGTCATTTTAATGGCGAGTTTTGTATTAATTTTACCCGAAATCATGTTTTAATATAAAATTTCAATTTTTATATACCTATATAACTTTTGATTAATGTCAATCTGTCAGTGATGACAGGAGTCATTATAGACATTTGGAAATGTCACAAATGCGGCCGGTAAAGTGACGGTGCGGCCAGTAAAGTGACAAGCGGCAGGAAACGTAGTCTGCTCTGCCTCTGTCATGGAAAAGGAAACTAAAGTTCACTGAGAGAAGGTTAGGCATGAAAATGAAGGTTTCAGGACGATTTTGGGGTAAAAATATTATCGATTATTAGCACGCAATGACCATTGTTTTTGACATATGCTGCTTATATCGAAACCGTGTCAAACCGTAATCTGAATTTTTGGCAAGTCATCAAATTAGCGGATTTTTTCTGTCAAAAAATCGCGATGGAAAGTGGTACTTTTTTTCACAATTTTTACTATGCGTTTCCACAGCGTTTAGTCCGGTCCGAGGTCCGGTCTATGAACAATATAGGCTGGACAATCTTAATTTTTGAGTGACAGCAAATCGCGAATGACTTTCAATGCGAAATTTGTCGCAGAATGCATCCCGTTTGTGGATCGAAATGTTCGAAAGTAGAGTAGGACATATAGGTAATACCTAATCCAGGACCTAATCTGACACCCAACATAAGATTATCCCTTAAAAAATGGCGTAAATTCATATTTGAAATGTTAGATTTAATCATATTTCGCATTACGCATATATAAGAAAAGCTGTAATAAGATACAAAGTAGGAAGGTACCAACATAAACAAGTCGAAATTATATTAATTCCTTGAATCATTTTTGATTACGTCCTTTCGTCAGGGAGTTGCAATAATTAAAGCGTTGTACCTATTTAAAGTGAAAGAGAACTAATGATCTTCCTTGAAATTAAATATTCTACGAATGTGATGCAACATTGGTATTAATTTAGGTATCTAAATTACATTCGCTTTTAGGTACATTTGAACGTAATTTTCCCTTGAAAATGTATACCTTTAGTTAAGTAAATCCAAAGATGAGCAGAAAGAACTGAAAATGCAATCCCTTTGAAAAGATTAATTAACATGATTTTGGAAATATTGTATACACAATGTCGCCACAGACTGTACCAATATTTTTTTGTTTTGTAACTTGTAAGCATTAATGGCACTAAAAGCAATAATAAGACAACCGATAAGAAATTGTTATGATAAATTAATAACATACCTATATGCCTCAAAATCTAACAATGTTCTTAGTGTTGCGACTGTTGCAGGTAAGCAAAAGAAGAGAAACCCCACATAGCATTCGATATCTTATGTATACACATTTTAAATCCATAATGTACAGGGAATATCCTGTCCATCTTATGTAGGTATATACTATGTATATTCATTATAGGATAGGCATATGTATTTTATGTTCAGTATGGATATTCTATGGGATTATATGTTATGTATATGCGTTTTGGATTTGATACATGCGTGTTCTGTATTACCGACGTTACAAACGTTAGCGTCTCATTTTCTGTGAATTACGGCGATGAAGATAGTAAGGTGCTATTGCAAATACAGCTCATTTTTCTAAAATCAGGAGTGTTATTCTGCGAGTTATTAATGAGTTTGTTTGTCTAATTTTGACAGTGAAAGTAATGATTTTTTCGTACTTCCGAGACTAAAGTGACAACTTCACTCCACTATGACAAGTAGTGAAGTGTCACTTTTTGTCCCGCCGGGATTAAATTTGGACGAAAATCCCGGAAGGATGAAATTACTATCAAGGCCATTTCAGTAGGTTGTTCCACATTTTGTATGCGGCACTACTTCTTAAACGCATCGTACTGCTACTCATATAGTTTTTTGGATTTCGGTGGTATATCAATTCTTTACCTATCTTAGGCTGCTTTTTATCAATATCAAATACTCACCACCAAATTTATGACACTAGCAATGACAGTTTCCAAATTATTTTTGTTACCATAGCATAGGGTTTGGTGTACTGACGCAACGTTCCTATGGTAACTTGTTAAGCAGCGATTTTTTTGAAAGAACGCGTTCTCTAACTCCATACATATTAAGTGTTTCAGTTTCGGAAGTACGAAAAATATCGTATATACCTTGCGACTGAAGTAGTGGTCTTAATCCCTCAGGTAAATTATGGCCCTCCCTTCGGTCGGGCCATAAACTTTACCTTCGGGATTAAAAGTACTACTTCAGTCCCGCGGTATATAATATACTATTATTTCGTGTGTGCATGATCTAAAGTTGCAAATATGTGTTAGTGAGATGTAAAGACTGGATGGGAATTAATATAAGGATAAGAATGGCAGGTATGTTAGCAAGCTATTTGTCATGAACTCGCGCTATTATAGTGTTGAACAAGAACACGATCAAAATGACTCAAGACTACAGTGTTAAATAAAACAATAATAATTTCTTAAGCACATTTTCCATTGTACACTAAGAGACTTAATAAACAAAAAGTTCCACTCCGTGAAAAGAATTTATTTATGAAGGTATAGACCAGAGCTGGGCAGAATACTTGGAAAAAGTATTTGAATACTAAATAGTAAATACTTTACACAAATCAAAGGTATTTGAATACTAAATACTTTTACGTCCAGCACAAGCGAATACTAGATACAGATACATTGAAAAGTATTCAAATACTTTAAAAAAATAAGTATTCAAATACTTTAGAATGTATTCGAATACTTTCAAAAGTATTCTAATACTATCAAAGGTATTCGAATACTATAAAAAGTATTCGAATACTTTGAAAAGTATTCGAATACAGTAAAAAGTATTCAAATACTTGTGACTCAAATACATTAAAAATGTAAAATAGTACCTATACTAGATAAAAGTCTTAATAGTACTTAAAAAATCAAGTTATACTTTGTATGGGGTTAGTTTTTTATATTTCTATTGTTATATACAAATTTAAGGGGAGTAAAAGTAATAATTTCAAACAGTTCCAAGATTGGGCTACTAGTTCAAAAGTTACAGCCCTTTGAATTTTCTTTTGAAATTGGTTTCTAGTCTATAACTTTTGATTGAAAAGTCTGATCGAAAAAGTACGAATTGATTTGGATTCTACGCATTAAAATTAATAAGACAAAGTGTTTTCCCGAGAAATTTTGGTGTGGTCGATTTTTGGTAAAAAAGGAAGGTTGTACACTGCCTTTTTTGAGGCCCGAAAAAAAAATTGTCTCAGAACGACTCGGAAAAAAAATTTTCTTATAGAATCTGGCCTGTATCACTAATTTCAAACAGTTCCAAGATTGGGCTACTAGTTCAAAAGTTACAGCCCTTTGAATTTTCTTTCGAAATTGACTAAATATTTGTGAATTACAAAGTATTTGAATACTTTAAAGGATTTGAATACTAAAAAGTATTTACAAAATCGAATACTGCCCAGCTCTGGTATGGACGCTAGTAAACTTCCCGAATGTTAGAGGAATCTCTATAGAACATCCATTCTGAATGTATACAACATACATAGAATATCCTATTGAACATCTTTTGCATATTACAGGAATATTCATGATATATCCAGTTGTCAGTATACCAATATACATAGCATGTCTGATGCATATACATGCATATACATAAGACATCCAAAACGTATATACGTTGTATTATGTGAAGTCTGCCAAACTTATATCCCATGCACATACATCGGACATTTGCGACATACTTTTCCACATGCTATGGATATACAATATCCCACGTGGCA